TTTTCCACTCTATTAACTGCTTCATGAAATGGCACAGCTTGAAGATACCTACTCGGCCATCTTCTGTTCTTTCCCCTCTATCTTCCTATGTCACAATTAGTGATGGCCTTTGAGGTTTGCTGCTAGGCAGCTTTGGAAGAGGCCTGACTTAATGTGTTGCAGAGCAATGTATTGGTCTGGAACAATAGCTGTCAGCCCAGCTGGTGTTGGGATTTTCCATGTGCAACGCTTCCTCCATTTATGAGGAGGGGAAAAAAAAAACAGGGTAACAAAACACCAACTGAAAATTATAACAGCAACTATTTGCCTTTCAGCAGAAATTGAATGGGTAAAATTTGGATGCTACAAAAAACTATAAATAGAGCATCCAGAGCAGAAAAGTACCGGAAGAAAGAGGAAGCCTCTAATAAATTACAGATCTTTAAAGGATCCCAGTAGAGGGAGGAAGAAAGCCAGGGAACAGGAACAACAGGAAAATTTAAAAGAAGCTTATACTGAATATTATAAATTCATGTGAGAAGGGCCTTTCTTCTCTCGGTGTGGGAAGATGCAAAAGTTTTGGTATATCATCCTTGTGCAGGGAAAAGGCTGAGGCTCAAATAGTCCACAACTGCTTTTTTGTATTGTGATTAACAAGTCATGCTGTTAAAATTGTATTAAATGGGACTCATGCTTTCTTGCTGTCACAGTTTTCAGAGCAATTGCTTCTCATTCAGCTTGCTCATCCACTGAGAACCTGGAACTCAACGAAATGCAAAGAATTATTTAAGTTAATAAAACATCCTTGTTCCAAATACCCACCACTGTGAAATGGGAACAAAGGAGGGACGCCAGATCCCATTCTGTATGGAGAAACCAAGATGAAATAAATTCCAGTGTGATTTTGTTTAGAGTTGTCATGGAAATCCAGCTTCCCTCGGTGTGGTGCCAGGGAAGGCAAACACCTCCCTGCATGCAACCCAGGTGAGTAAAGTGCTTGGGCTGTGACTTGCTGGGGGTGCCCTGCAGAGAGCTGCCCATCAGACCAGCGTGTCCAGGCAGTGCTCTAGGGAAAGGTGCACAGCTTTATCCATGTGCTGTAGGGGAAGCTTTGTGCCCAGTGGTTTTGCTGGTGAACTGCAAGACCGGGAATGGGATCTGAATCTGAATGAGAGTGATAGTGGTAGTGAAGGTGAAATTGTTTTCCAGCCTCCAGCATTGTGCTTCAGAACTCTCATCCTTCCTTTTCTAGTCATATTCCCCTAATAAACATGAAGGAAAAAAAAAAAGGTATGATATAAATTTGCATGCACACAGAGTGAAGGATCATGCGGTTTTTACAGTCAAATTTGAAGATGAATTAGTCTTTGAGATACCGTCTGTTTAAGGATTATGTTGTTAATAACCTAAATTTGACACACACTTTTTTTTCCCCTTCAGTCACTACCCACAAAGCCTCTCTAAAAATTATCTCTTATGAAGCTGTGTCATTAATGGCTTCCTGCAAGGTTTCTTTTGGAAGCTGCAGAAAGGTAAATAAAAATGAATTAATACAGCATTGTGGGTTTTTAGGCAAAATATGCAAATATCATACTGAGAAAACCTTACCAGCATTAAAGTCTTTCAGATCCTATCCTCAGAGGCTCTGCTTGTGGAATCAGAAGCGTTTAGGCAACCTTTAACTTAGTTTATGTGTAATACACATGCATACTCTCTGTCACTCTCTCACTTCCTAATGTCCTCTTGGAACAGTTCCCACTGGTACAGTTCTCTGCTTTGCAGTTCATGAATTTTATTTTCAATCAATAAATGCGCCTATTATCAAAGTTTTGTATTCTCATCATAATCGTCACTTCTCATAAACCATTCCGTTGTGTGGGTCAGCTTCACAAAAAGCACATGCCACTTACCTATATTTTTCTGCATGGGGTTGTACAGTATATGAATGGAATGCGCATGGAAGTGTAATCAGATTTCAATTCCATCTAATACTTACGAATAAGCTTGTTTGTTTTATTTTTATTAAGTTGCTTTGAGACAGTAATCAGGACTTAGGTATTTCTTGGTGTTCTTGCCTGTAATATATTCTTATGGTATGGAGCAGAAATTGCCTTGCAGGCCTCCCCTAAAGTATCCTGTGCCATCAAAGAAAGTGTTATTTCTGGTGTATAACTTTACACCGTTTACCAGGCATTTCAGACAAGTAAAGAAAAGCTTCTCGCATGCTTCTTTCAAGGTTGCAAGTTCCCACTGTGGCAAATTATAAATGTGGAATCTGTCTGAGAGCCAGTGACCTATGATGATGAAACCCTCCTAATTTCTAGTGCGGATTTTTTTTTTTTTTTTTTTTTTTTTTTTTTGGAGATATTATTTTAGGCATTTCTTGAAGAGACAGGCTGTCTTTGTGGTGATTGAGTCTTTGGATATTTTCTGATTTGTGCCTTGTATCTTATCTGTCAGCCCAGAGTATATTAAATACTGCTATCATATGCAGTCATCAAATGATTGTATTACAAGGTTAACAGACAAATAATATTTCAAAATGAAAGCCTTCAAGTTGCCTACTTTTCTGACCTCTGAAAGTGTATAATATTATGTAGAAATGAAGGGGGGGGGGCCCGCAAGTCTATCAATAACAAAGAAAAGGATAGGAGCAAGTAGGGGGCAAGGAAGGAAAGTAAATGTTCTTAGTTAAGTGTGATCCCATAAACACAGTGGAATCCAAGATTACTTTGAACTAATCTTGATAATATCTCAACTGGTTAGTCTCCACAGCTATCACTGCTATGGGACAGTAGACTTGATGCTAATGCTCCTTCTTCTACAGTACACCACCACTACTGCTACAAATACAACTTCTACTGGTAATAGCTGTAGTATCACTACTATGTAGCATCACTACACACATCTATCTAATTAGAGGGGCCTGTTTTTTTAGATCTGTTTTACGTATCTGTTTAGATCTGTTTTACTCTCTCTACAATTACTGCTTCTTCTGGATTCAGCTGAAATAGCAGAAGGAAAGATTTTTAAGGTGAAGCATGAATCTCCCAAAGGAGGAACTTGGGATTTTCCACTTTTCTGTGGGATGTGGACTCCAGGGAGTTACCTTTCCATTTGCAATGAGGGCTCAGGTTCACAATGAGGAAAGAAAGCTTGTGTGTGTGTTCTAACTGAGGGCCTAGGGTGTTATAGCTACTTCATAGAATTTGAAAAAATATCTTGCCTGTATTGTAAGGCTTTATCTTATCTCAGATGTCTGTTTCTCAGGTGTCTGATCCTTCTCTTCCCCTGCTGATGTCTTGACTGCAGAGCTCTGTGATTCCTGCAGGTACAATTTACCTGCTACAGGAAACAGAGTTAACATAACAATGAGAAGATACTTTCTGTTCCTTACAAAAATCACTATTTGCTTGCAAAAATACAATGGCAAGCATAGGCAGAAGCTTACAGACATGACAGATAATTTTATTGCTGTTCTTATTTAGCAGTTTTTGTTCACTTTTTATTATTCCTGATTTGTTTGTCTAGTCCTTAACTCCACAGATAACTTGCACGTGTGTGGAGCAGATTCCTTACTAGTATCAGTAAGGTCACTGTTTCATGAGGTCTTGTAGCCAGAAGGACTGTTACTGTCATCTAATCTATCACCCATGCTTCATTCTGAAAAATAATTTCTGCCTGAAGGGTATGGAGTGTAACTCACTAATTGATGGAACTTTCTGTAGCATATGTCTAGCCAATAGCTGGTCTTTTAAGGATGTTTGATACTTAAGATTATACGTATGACTTTGTGTTATGCACTTGATACTAAGCCGTATTTCTTTGCCTGTGGGACTGTATGTAGAAGTAATGTATCATTATGCCAATGACAATATTCTAGCTGTGAGTACTAGTGATGTGATAATTCTGTCATCTTGAGCTCTGCTTTGATCATCATTTTTTTTTCTTTTCTGCTTTTCTTATTTGCCTGAGAAGTACACAATAGTTTAACTTCCTCTTCAAAACTTCTCATTCATCTTCAGGAGGGTGAACAATCTTTTCTGAACAGAGAAGACATGTTCCAACTATTTCTTTATACCCTTCTAACCCTTATCTTTTAGTTATGCTTCTCTGCATTGACCTACTGTTTCTGCACATTATTTTTCTGAGCATGTCTGTACTGGCTGTTACAGGGTCAAGGCCTTGAAAGCAAGCCAGACTGATTTGGGGGCCTCTTTCCTTTGTTTCAGTGGATGTTTGCCAGAAACTCTATGTCCTGCAGCAGCACTGACTGGGCTGAACTCTCCCACAGCAGTATCTCTCCACTGTACACTGACTGCTGCATTTCTGATTTGAAGACACAAGGGAGCCAAGTACATACATATAATAGCAATGATCCTCCACAGGGTGTAGATAAGAGGGCTCCCTCCACAGCACCTGGGGAGTGCTGTGAGGCAGGAGGCCAAAGGTTAGGTTCCCAAGGGATGGCTTTGACCCATCTGGATCTCACCATGCTTGATGTATGTATATTGTCAAACAAGCTCAAGACAGACTGTTGGGATTTTTTTTTTTTTTTTTCTCCCCCTACTCAAGCTAAAGAGGCAGCAATTATGCTTACAGCATTGAGGGAGATATTTCCAGTCACAGACGCAGAAAGGCCAGTAAATTATTCCTGAGTTATACTTCAAATACTTCCAGAATTAACTGCCAAGAATCTTTTCGCATAGTGCTTATGCAGGCTGTTTCCCTACCCCAGCCAGCCAAGAAGGGGATGTGGGGCACAACTTGCCCAGCTGCACCTTGTGCTTTCTCAGCCCACCTCTCATATTGTATATCTCCATGCAAAGAGTTGTTCCCTGGTGTTGTTCAGCAGCATCATGTAGGAGGAGCAGGCACATCCTTCAAGAGAAGCAATATCCCAAATGTCTCAATGGCAGTCTGATCATTCCCTAAGGAACCAGGACTGAATAGAATAGCTGTTCCTCCCTTTCTTTCTTCCTCTATACCTTCCTTTACCTAATTCTCACTCTTCTTTACAGAATAGTGGAAGAAAACTGATGCATTTGATGCAGTACCTGTGTTCTCTAGTGCCTTGGTTGAAGTGCAGAAGTCTTCGTGTCCTTCTGCTGTGCCTGTGCAAGAAGTATATGCTCATGTAGCCTTTTGACACGTAAGGTAGGTTATGCAGGTATAGCACTTCTCAGAAGCTGTGGGACAATACCCTTCTCCCCTGTGAAAGTCATGATGTGCAGGCACTTTTGTCTGTGAAGCTCTTAAATTAGAAATTTCCTGAAAGAACCCATACCTCTCTTCCTTTCTTATTGTATTAGACTTGTTGTTGATCAGTGGAAAGGAATATGCTCAATATTAAGCACTGCTGAAAAGACAGAGGGAGTTTCATGAGGGAGTTGAACTACTTCTGGTCATGGCTTTTACACATGTAGAAGAGTATTCAAGAAAATATGAGGTTTTCTTTTAATGTCTTTTGGTTCTGGCTCCATCATAGATGAACAAAAGCAGAACTCAGTTCATTCTCTCTTTATCCTCAATGATCCTCTGTGACAGAAACATGCTAGACTAATGTAAATGCTTTCCCCCCCCCCTTCTCTGGTGGAGTTCTGGTTGCTTCCCCAGGCAGAAATTTGATCGCTAAGAAGTTATCGGCAAACCATCAGACCTGTACCATCAGACCCTTTAGTCTATCAGTGATTGCTATGTCTCATCTCCACATGAAGCATCTTTAGGTTGCACTTTATAGCAGGTCCCCTTTGAGTGTGTGTCCTGATTATATACCAACCTTATATAGTTTGGTTAGAGATAGTCGTCATGGATTTACAAAAGGGAGGTCGTGCTTAACAATCTTGATTCATTTCTCTGAGGAAGTGACAATGAGAGTGGACAGGGGTGAAGAAGGAGACATAATTTACTTGGACTTGAAAAGGCTCTCAATACAGTGCCACATAACAGATTCATTTATAAGGTTAGCAAGTATGGGACTGATGGTACAATACTTGATTGGATATAAAATTGGCTTGATAACAAGGGCCAGGGAGTGGCAGTAATGGTTATAGATCACACTAGGGAAGTGCTATGTAATGAGGGGTTTGTGCTTGAAGACATAGTGAAACTAACAAAGGATGGGCAAAACCAAAAGCAATTGTATTGGAGGGAAAAAGAGAAAAAATGATGCCATCCAGGTAACCTAAAAGCATGAGGTTGTAGCTTCATGGGAAGCAAACAGTCACATCAGTGTGTAGCTGGAAATTTTGAGTAGCATTCTGTTAAGAAAATTATCTAAGAACTGAAAGGGGGAGAAGCCAGGCCTACTGGCTGCAGGCCCTGCAGCAGAGGCAAAAGCAGAGAGAGTGAGCAGGGATCTTTCCCTATAGGTAGGAAAGAGAACGAAAGTGAGTTTGCTCATGGTGCCAATGAGCAATAAGTGTATTTTCAGAAACTGATCTTACTGTATGAAGTCCTTGGACCTTTGCTATGGGAACATATCACAGAATCTAGGGTGTATTTTTCATCTCCAAGTATATCTTTGGAGAATCCTATTTCTTTCAATTTTCTTTAATCTAAGGAGACTTGACTTCCTGCATTGAAATTAGCCTTTGTCACTGTCTTGCAAGATGCTATCTTACGTGCTGTAATAAAGCAGAGAACTGGCTAGAAGAAAGAAATTAAATATTAACCGAAGCACAGAAGAGTCAACAGAGTGCTAAGAGACCTCAGAGATTCACAGTGTTGAACAGAAATTTGTTTCAGTGAATACTCATCTCTTTACGAAGTATCATCTTGGATGATACTCTAAGGGGTTTGCCATTGAGGTTTGCACTGCTGGTAGTTCAAGAAAATAGAAGCTTTAATGTCCACCAGAGTTTCCGCTCCAGAATCCTTTCCTTTTTTTATTGAAGACCTATTTCCATAAAGCAAGTGCAAGAAAGCAATGACTTTCAACTTCACCTGTGCTTCTCACTTCTTTTTAGACAGGAACCTCTGGAAGGATCAGACCATGCAGTTCAGGAAGACTTGGAAACACTTTTTAATTAAACAAAAAAGAGCTGCCCTGTTAGCATGTGCGTGGTGTGGTACAGGATTAGAAAGAAAACCTGATGCATTGTACCAATTAGTCAGACTGATTTATCTATTGTTTGTGCTATAAGCTGTGCATAGTTATTTGCTTATGAGTACTGGCTCAAAGCCTTGGTCCTTCTCGCAAAGCCATTAAAGTCATTAGTTGAGGTCTTATTGATTTGAACAAGACCAAGGCTTGACTCATTGTGTCTATCCAGAGGACACCAATAAACTTTTAAATCAGTCAAGGCTGTAGACTCATTCTGCTGGGGTCATACGGTTAATACATCCTGTTCCTGTCATTTCCGCTATAAATCTGTGAATGCTTTTAAAACAAGAGGAAAACTTGATTCCCTTCCTTTTGCGAGAAAATATTATGTTCCCTTTTATTACAACGAAGATGGGGGTCCTTTTCCTGAGGAGAGCTTGTAATGGGAAAGGTAATATCAATACATTCCATTGTTTCTGGAGTCAGTGAAAAGTAATTAGAGATAAAGAAATGAGTCACAGGTCTCCTAACTGCAATGCAAAGTTTCTCCCACTGATTTCCCATAAGCCTTTGCTGGGCACTGATGTCTATTAAAAAAATCCTTTATTTTTAGCATTTCATCTAGGTTGCACAATCTCCTCAAGATGGAAAAGATTTTAACTTCCTATCAGTGTAATCAAACTCACGATTATTGACTTCATTTGTGTGACTTTGCCATTGTGTGACTGGGTCATTAATTTTTTTACTTCCACTCTCTCCCTGTTAAATTTAGTAGTCCAAACAAAACTGTGGTGGAGAATACCAATCCTAATTTTGTTCATTTAAAAGCAGAACTCTGCAATCTGTTCTTATCTCACATTTTGTTGCTTTCAGGAAGATCTCAATGGATCTAGTGAAGCAAAGAGTTGTATGGGAATGAAGATGGATCATGAAAAATGGGTCTTGAGAGCAATTTGGTTATTTCAAAGCTGGCAAAGGAATCAGTGGGGTCTTATTTAAGTCAGTAAATATAGCTGGCCATACACTTTGTAAATGCTACTTGGGCTGAGGGGGAGGTTAACAGCTTCCACTGGTCACCTTTCTGATAAACAGATGATATGAGAGAAGAAGAAAGGATCTTTCTTATGCATATGTATTTAGATGTATTACTGTGTCCAGTTTGAAAGCCCAGCTGGCTTTCCGAGTTAGTGGATCGTGTCTCTGTGTGCATGCACGTGCATGTTTTATAAATGGTTTGATCTTACCTGAGAATCTGTGGCTCTGGTTACATTCCATTTGTTCATACTTCTGTAGGCTCCATAGTGAGCTTGCTGGACAGTTCATTAAGTTAGCTGACAGTGCACATACAGCCTTTCCACCCACCTCCCCCAGCCCTAAAATAAAAAATAAAGAAATTAAAATGGCAAGAAGGAAAAATACTATGCAAATAGCTCAGATGCGTAGACACATTTAAGCTAATGCAGTTTTGAGCATCATAACAAAAAAATGTTTTTTCAGGAGTATTGCAGTTACTCCAGTGACATGACCACCTTGCAGCAGTGCCAGTGCAGGCTGTCAGAACTGGCTATCTCAGTAAGGCTGACAAAACTTCCATCACTAACTTTTTAGAGTCGGAGTGCTTCTAAAGAGCCCTTTTTTTTCTTTTCTTTTTCCTTGCAACAGTTAAGGTAGCTTCTAGGTACTTGGGCATCTCGCTTTGCAAAGGAAGTGGTTCATAAATAGCAGTTCGTGTGATCAGTTGCTTTTGAAAATGTTCTTTTGGTGTTATGACTCAGTTCGTCCAACTTCCAGCATGTTATTTCTTCAAATATTATTAAAAACAAACCAACCAACTACTAGGTCAACCACAAAGATACCTTTTCAAAGGGTTCAACCCTTTCAAATAGTTTATTCTGTTTCTTAAAGTTGCTGCAAACCTGTTCCCTGGAGTTATATCAATGTAAGAGCACTACTAGAAGAATGAAATCACTGAACAGTCATTCTGTTACTTTCTTTAACATGAAAACCTTCTTGTTCAACTAGGAATCCTCAAGCAGTGCATTCATGTAGACCATCAACTCTGCTCTCATACAATGTGTGGTCAGCACAACTGAGTTTTAAAAAGCCTTTGTAACAGCTCAGAAAAACCCCTCAAGCCCCCCTTTGGGATTAGTAGCTTTAGTTAATGTTGGTTAACACTTATTTGGAACAGGCATGTTATTCTTTCCTTAACCTTTATTCTCATCGTTCTTCCAATCTCCTTTTAAATTCCATTTTCCCCTCTGTTAGCATCTGTACCCTTAGCTACCTCACAAACAAGCTGCATTGCCAGCTGGCATGCAAGAACAGAACTGAAAGCAGCACTGCTAACCCCTGCTCCTCTCCACTCCCTGCAAAGTTGGAGGCATATCAAGCTTGACGCTGAGATCTCGGAAAGTGGAATTCTGAGCTTCCTGGGAACTCAAAGAGCTGGGTTTGAGGCTATTAAGCTATTGGGCTGGCTCACTGAGCTACAGTTGTTCATACATCTCTGTTTTATACATTTTTTTTCAGACCAGATGTTCCTACTTGTGCTGAGTATTTGTTATGCTGTGAAAACCAGAAAACAGTGCAACAGGTTATAGGCAGTTTTAATCAGTTTTGTTAAGGCAACCAAAATCTGGTCCAGAACGAAAAGCCCAATGCTTTTCAAAGTGGTTTAAGAAAAGATTTGGACAAACCAATGTTGCAGTAGGTTTTGGCTATGGGCAGCCATGAAAATATGATTTTATATACCCAAATTTTTTGTTCTTAATGAAAATAGAAATTGAGAACTCTTAAGTAACAAAATAAAATACAGAATCTGGAAAAACTTTGTTCATCCAGTCCCGTGCATTGCTGCTCACTCTTTTGATCCACACACAGTGGTTGAACCTAAAGTATATTTAACTTTCCCCCAACCTGCCCAGCCCTGAGTTTTGTTCTGAATTTGTTGTGTCTTTTTTTCTACATTGGTAAATGTTTCTGTCTTCAGTTTGTAAGGTAGAAAGCCTAGCCACAGGACATCAACAACTTCCATGTTGCCTGTTTGGGAAAAGAAAATACGCATTTAAAAGAATCAGCAGTTTAGAGAGAGAGGATATAATGTGATTGAAGATTTTCACTGTAACACTGTAGAGTACAAAAAAAATATATATATATAAAGTGCATTTTAAATGATTAATGTACAAAAGCTGACCTCTTCCAGTGTGCATTAATCAAGAAAAAATGCACAGTGTCAATAGTGGTTAATGTTGCAGGTCCATTATTTAGCTTTGATAATGTGCATAAAAATGCTCAATATGACAATGAGTTGGGGTAGCTGAGAATTTAGGATGGTGGCAAGTTTGTTGTAGTATTTGGATTAGCATTCTTAACCTACATCTTGACAGCTTCTTTTCTTCAGTTTGGAAGAGTTATCAAAATCTAGCTGTATCCTCTTTCATTTTTAGCTATATATATATAATATATATATATATATATAATTTTTTTTTTTTTTTAAACAAAACAATTTAAAAATACCTGCTTAAACAAATACTACCAGCATTCATTAGTCAGGATGGTTATATGTGAAAGAAATGATGCCAGATAGTAACAAATCCAAGAGAAGTTTATTATGAAAATGGCACCTGCGGGATGAAAAAAAATTAAGTTACATAAAGACAACCATGTATGACATGTATGAGAATCTACAAAAGTATAAAAAGAACCCTGTTGTAAATGAAGTATGTACATTTCTGATTTGCAGCATTATCAATGATCAATGAAAAAAATGTTTCAAATAAGCCAGGCACTCGAGAAGTTAGATTCGGTTAGCTTAACACAAAATAAATGTACCATAGCTGTCACTTTTTAAGGTTTTAATTTTTTTTATATTGTAGAGTTGGTAACACTGCTAAGATTTATACGAACAGAATCCCTTTCCCCGTTATTCAGCTACTTGGCACCAGTCTCCTCATAAAAGATTTCATATATTTGTACAAGAAATAGTTAAAAACACAGACACAGTCTTCACAGGTAATGAAGTTTTTTTTCATTTTGTAATTTTAAACACTATGGATTTAGACAGCAGCTGTGATTATCTGTTAGTTTAAATCACCAGAAATCATTTTGACACAACACAGAAACATTTATAAAAAACAAAACAGAACAAAACAAAAAACCAACAGCTGTCTAGCTGTTCTTTGTAGCTGATAGGTGCACTCCTTTGATTGTTCAATAGCTAAAGCAGAGCATCCAAAATTAAACTCTGAATTTCCCAATCAGCTTTCTTGCCTTTTTTAGTCCTACTTAAATCCTTCAAATTTAACCTTTAAAAGCTCATTAATTAAATTTGTGACATCCAATTCCCTTTCATTATTGTTCCACAGCGGCTTGAACCGACATCTCAAATTCAAAGCTATTGGAGGAATTGACTCAACACAGTGAGTGATCAAAAATTCAAAGGACAGCTGAGTTAATATATTAGCATTGCACACATAAGCAAATATATAGGAAAGTTCTAAGCTGTTTCCTTTTTAAATGACATTGGTTGATCTTTGAAAGGATTTCCTACCTCACTGGTGATTGCTGTATGTATTGCTCCCTCAGCCTACCTGGGAGAAAACCAAAGAAATGCACCCTCTGCTTACGGTTAGAGCACAAGGGACTCTGGGAATGTTAACTAACAACTGAGGCTATATGGCATCAATTTGCTTAATAAATCTGAGCATTACTCTGTAGTGCATTGTGTGGTACACTGGAAGAGTAAGTCACACCCAGAACTCCTCTGTGGGAAAAATGGCTCCATTAACCTTGAGCTAGTTAAGAGTCTTTTCTCTGAGAGTGAAGAAGAGAGAACGAGAGAGGAAGAGAAAGAGACGGGAAGCGTGGAGAGGAGGGGAGGGGTGGGGGAGAGAGAGGTTGGAGAATACACAACAGCAAAGCAACTGCAGAAATTAAAAGGTATACAGACAGTGGAAGCAGCATAAGGTGACATTACAGAGGAAGGCCACCACACAAAAACCACTAACCCCCAAGAATCACTGGTTCACTAGGACTGCAGGAATGGGACTTTACCACTCCAGACTAGAGATAAAGCACAGAGAAGACAAAGGACAAAACAACTACATTAGCTTAGTATATACTGCATATAGTAACACACATTGAAACTGCAATGGGACTGACAGCCAAGGACACTTACACATTGTACACATTACAGTTCTCACATCTGTTATTAGATGCCTTAACAAACAGCTGCCAAAGATGGAGTGGAAGAAGAATTTATATTTGACAGTCATTTGCAGTGTTTGACACTACACTGTGATTTCTGGCAATGAAGACAAAATAGGAGATTTCTTCTCTTTTACTTAATGTGCAGTTTTCAGTTGTAGTTATCTATTTCAAGCTTATTAACCCATTCTTTAGTTTTATAACATATTGGTTTCAACACTAGAAATAAGGAAAAAGCAACAAAAAATACCCAAATCAAAGAACAAAAAGAAATTTACAACCTTCCCTCTATAATATTAAATGAAAAACAAAACATGTTAAATAGTTCTTCTGGTTTTTTTTTTTTTTTGTGGTTTTTTCTTTTTTTTCTTTTTTTTTTTTACTCTGAAGTGTTATTTGATGTAGAATTAGCCTCAGTTACACTGAGAAAGAAAAGAAAAAAAAAAAAAAAAAACAACAAAAAAACCCAAAAGCAAAACAATATGCACCTAAGAAACTGCTCCTTGCATCAATTAAATTGAGTTTTTTATTTTTAAGCGCTTTTTGAAAAAGGCTTCCTGACCCATTTAAATTTAATGTGAGGCTATGCTTGTTAGTTTGGAGGTAAAAAATTTAAATCCTGCAGCAAATGTTAATGAGGGCTTTTGTCTTAACTAACCAAGGAGACTGCAGCACCCGACTATTGACCAGTACAGAACACATTCTTTTCAAAAAACCCAGCCCACAAGCTGCAAATTGTATGAAGATATTACAGATTAATAAATGATAGCACCATGGTTTTAGAAATTAAGTTAAAGTTTCAGTAATTAACATTTAGTCCAACTTTTCAACATTCTAGTCACAGGCCAGAAATTAACTTTTTAAGAACCCAAATTATCTTATGTGCAAGTAAGAAAATCTTAACCATAAAAAGAGAATTAAACTCTGCATAAAATTCTAAAATACTATCCCCTATTTTAAAGGAATTAGGAACAAAAACCCCTTTTCATTTGACTTAGTCAAACAGGGTACATTGTTTATGCTTGTCTCTTTTAATCTTGATCACATCAAGATCATTTTGAAGTAAAACCAATAGTTGTCACTTTAAAATCTCTTTACCACAACACTGAGTATTCTATGGCAGAGGCATACACATTAAAGGCATCTTAATAAAGATGCAAAGGAAAAAACACACATCTTAGAAGAAGACAAAATGGCAGGCAACTGGTACTTCAACTCTCTGAAGGCAAAAATAAAAAAATATCTTTACATTAAAGAATAAGTCAAGTTAAAGAGAAGGGGAATGAAATGGGGACTGTCATATTGAGAGAATAAACTGACCTGCTCGAATTCAAAGTGCTAGAATTAAAGGTCTAAATTAAAACATAGTCTATGCCTCAGAGCTTAACACTGAACACAGTATGTGGTCATATTTCAATCCTCTTTCCGTTCCAGAGTCTGTGTAGTATGAATGCCATTGCTGTACACAGGAAATGGAAGAGTGGAAAAAAGTCCTTCGGCAGTCGTGAACACATTCCCTGCAGGCATTTGGGTCAGACTGGCCCCACTCACAGCACTTCCAAATGGTCCCGACATATTGAGTCGGTGAACGTGGTGGTAGAGCATTTCCATCGGTGTTTTAGGATCCAGCCCAAAGCTGGGGCTGTTAACATCAACAAAGTTAACAGCGTGGGTATTGGGGAGGAGGTTGCCCTGCATGGCTAAAGTAACTTCAGCTGGAGCATACCGAATAGTGCCAGTGGTGTAGACCCTCTGAGCAGCAGTGCTTGTTGCGGCAAGGGTTCCTGTTACCCTGTGAACCAAAGGAAGCACCACATTGCCTGCTTGCAACCTCTGAAGGGCTTCCAGATCCCCAGTGTACAACAAAGAGTTGGAAGTTGTGGGACCACCTGGGTGTTTATCCCTTGGAGATGCTGAAAGCGGGGGTGACAAAGGGTCAGAGGACACAGGAGCCAAGGCTGAGTTGGATGAGGTGCTGAACTGAGTTTTGCGGCTGGCAGTATTTTCAGTCCCTGGTGGGGTGAGAACAGAGTCTGGAATGGAGACATGTAAACTACTGCTGGCTTGGGGGGAAGGGAAGTGCTCGGAGCTGGGGGGCTTGGTCATACTGTAGGGTGATTCATTCCTTGAGATTTCCCTGTTGGGGGGGTAATTCCAAATACTGCTATCATTATCAAAATTGATAGGTTCTGAGATTTCTGTTTTAATTTTGAGCACTGAGGCACTGTTTGGCGACGAGAGCAGCTGGGGCTGGTCTACCAAAGCTGAGTCAAGTCCGTTTGGGCTTGAGGTGCTTGACAGCCTTCTCCTGGTCATGCTGCCTCCCTTTTGCTTTTTTCTTCTCTTCTTCCTCTTTTGATGTTTGCTAGAAGACTGGGCATTTACTTCCCCTGCACTGTCTGAGTCCTTGGCACTGTCCGAGGTCAGTGATTCACAGTTCTGCAACCGCAAGTCTGACTCACTCTCAACAAAACGCTCCACCTTGATCTGCATAGAACCAAGAGTGCCAAAACTGTCCTCAGGAGCTTTTTGATTCTCGAAGTCCGAATTCTCAAAGCTGTCATCACTGTCCCTGCTGTCCTGGTTGCTGGAGCTGTTCCCATCATCATTACAGTTCATTTCATTATCTGACTGATTTCCTGACTTTTTCCTGTCAGATTCAGGGTCTTCGCTGTTTTCTGACTGGTTTCCTTTCTCGTCTGACTTTGAGTTCTCATTGTCCTCTAAAGCAAAAGGAAAGTGAAACAAATCATTAGCAATGAGAATATAATATTACAGCCCAAATCTAGATTTCTACCTACCAATGAGGCATTCTCTTCTGTAGAGCCATGTTTATTTGCAGTATGGTGTTGGCGGAGTTTTGATCACCATTAATCTCTCTGACCTGGGATTTTCAAGGCACTAAAGGCCTGTGCTATCTGTCTGGCCTGAATTTTTCTTGAGCATATACTAAGGCACCTTGGATGAGGAGCCCTTGATATCTGCTCTGTTGGTAAGAACTGTCTTTACAACTGTGAGCACGAGAGCCCTGTTTCACCTGAAGGAAGAGGAGTCAGTGAACAATCCCATTATGACCATTATGCTCTGATTATTGTTCTTTCACTTATGTGTTCTCCTCAAGTGGGAAGGCATCAAAATGTAGCACTATTAACTAATGAGGATTCTTAGTCATCTCATTTTCCTTCACCTTCACCACTTCGAAGAGACACAGCTACTCTGACTACTGTGGAATTTCTGCCACTCTCCTCCAGTATTGAGAGGAGAAGCAGGTCATATGTGTATAAATCTGAATGAATAAACCAGTTTAAACAATTTTGTTACGTTGCTAGCCTGGCTTTTCATATTCTCTTGAAGGGCAAGGGAAAAAAAACACAGAAAAAAAGATTCAGGCAGCGAATTAAATTCTCGATTGATCCAAATCATCTAAGGGCCATTGAAAGCAGCCCATCTACAGCACTGAGAAGCTGTCACTCTTCTTGCCTGAATTCTTTCAGTTGTATTTTAGATTTTTTTTACCTAATTTGAATACGGATGAGATAAACACTCTAGTCCACTGGACTCATGAGAATGAATACTCTCCATTATCATGCTGTGTTTGAAAGGGTCATGAAAGGCTTCAGGAGACCCCGTCTTTTACAAAACAGCTAGATATCTTTTGTTGGGAAATAAAAGATTTCTTTTTTTTCCACTCATCAGGGCCAAGTACTGCCCCTTTCAGTACATTTGTGTTTGAGAGGGGAAGGGGCAGTTTTCTTTTACAGAATGGTTACTCCTGAAGCCATGTTAATACCAAACAGAGCTGGAAACTCTGGAGCAGGTAGGCCTGATGGGGAAGCTGCCTGAGGATTCAGGGCAATACACTTTGTATTAATTTCAAGTAAGTTGCTTGGAGAGACTTCTGCTTGAGTCATTAACAACAGAGAGACCTCTCATTTTGAAAAACAAAACCCACAGAAACAAATGAAGAGCCACAACACTCCAAACTGCAGCCATCTGGGTCTGAGTTTCACTTATAATTTTTAAAGATGTTGTCTTCTAGACCTGATTTCTAGTTGGACAAGTGTGGGTTTATGGTGAAGGATTCTAAAACTGCACAAAATTTGTCTGGGATTCTATCAGAGCTTGAACTGAACTTGTTGGTTGCATCCAATACAGTGCTCTGATTTCAGATCCCTTGCAATTTCTGTTTAACTATTTTGCAAGAAACAACCCTCTCTTTTGCTGTCTAGTAAGGCTTGTAGACATCTTCTAGGATGTACGCATCTCTGCACCATTAAAGAATACCCTCTTGGTCTGAGTCAGCCTTAGGAGTTATGACCATATGTGTATATCTTACCTGGAGAAACTTAGAGTGCTCATGAGAAATGCAAACTTTTCTTCACATGTGTGCTCTTTGGCTATTTAGAAACAAGACAGTATAAAGGAAGCACACACAGTAGTGCTTTTTTCCAATTTTGGTTCTTCTTTTCTTTTTTAAATGTTATCATATATATGTGCTGCAGTCAAGTAACCTCAGCTTGGGCCATGGACAAACATTTTCCTTTAAAAGCTAGTTAATCTGTACCTGGGCATGTATAATCACAGTGAATCATCTGTGCATGGACCATCTGTAAAACTAATTTATATATTAAGTTTGATAATTACATTTAGCTTTTAAAACATAGCTGAATCCTAGACTTTAAGAGCTTAGAAAAAAGTGCTTGAACCTATACCTTCCAATAAATCGTAATTATTTTAACCCAAGAAGACCCTAAAACCTTGCAGTCTTCGTTGTTCCCCAGTGAGACTAATAATCATAAAAAAAGCATTTCTATAAGAAAAAAGGTCATGGAGACTGATGGTGGATATTTATGTTCAGAAAGTTTGACTGCTTTTGAAATATAAAAACTATAATTATATTCAACAGTTACAATTCCATGGTCTTTCATAAGGCAAACACCTCTTTATGAAGCTTAGCTGGAGACCCAAATATTTTGTTCAGTGCAGTGTAGGCAAGGATGTAGCCACAGAATTAATAGAAACTTTGAGGAAATTGAGATACTGTGAAAATGCTGAGGTTATTAAAATACTGTCTTGGATTTCTTCAACTTAATTCTACAGGATTTTTTGCTGTTGTAACAAAACACTCCTTGAGAAACATTGAGAAGCTGTTGGAAAGGCAACCATGTGGCTCTTATGTCATGGACCTTTTGTGACTATAAAGAAGGATACATCATTTGTGTTACCTGAATTGTCCTTTGAGTCTGATTCAGAGTCAGAGGTCTCTGAGGATTCTGAGGTTTTCTCTGGCAGATGAGGAAGTTGTGCAATATCCATGGGAGTGTCCTTGTACTCTGGGTTACTGAAGAAGAGACAGCATATATAACCATAATTGGATGATTTGTAGTTGCATGTTTTTTCTTCTTTACATATCAGAGAACATAAACAGAAAGAATAGCAGAGCAAACACAGAACCATATGTTTTTGTTTCCTTAGAGCTTTACAGCAGGGATTTTATGAAGGTATGTTAATAGTCTGTCAAATAATTATGTTGATCAGGTATAAAAACTGTTTCATTCTAGTGAAGTTTCAGAGCTAAGAAAGTATTCTTACCAAAGTGGGACACAGTGGTTTGTATGATATCTAACATACTGTGCCATCATTGAACAACAGAATATTTCTATTTCAACTCCATCCATTACTGTGCTTGGAAATACAAGGAGTGTGCTGTAACTTTTCCAGCCTGTTTCTCTTCCACCACCAACATCTATTAGAATTATCTCTGTAAAAATATATCAACCTTCCCAGGGCCATTTTAACAAGTGATTTTTCTCAACAAACAGATCATGCATAAAATTAGTAAGAAGGTGATCAGTTAGGGCTAGAGGAAATGACCACTACTCCAAAGAGCTTGGCCAGGAGATAACTAAAAAGGATATATATATCCTTAAATATATATATATTTAAAATATTGCACACATGGATCCACATCACCAAGAAACTGTAAGCAACCACTCTATGACAGATGCACATATGCATGTTAAGATGCATATGTTAGGGATAAAGAACTGTCAACACACCCATTATAATCATATCTTCAGCTGCTCATGTGGTGCTCACCTGTGACTTGTTAGCAACGAACACGACTGCAATGCAAAAAAGCTACACTAACAGAGAAACTGAAGAAAAAGCTAAGCTTTTTCCTGGTTTGCACTTTCCAAAATGTGTTCCTTTTCCAAACCAGTGCAAAGAGAGAGGAACACAGCTGCACAAAAGTGGCATTGGAATGTTGAAAGTAAACAAAGTCTTTAATCATTTTTGAATAGATGAACATTTCTAAGCAACTCAAATTCCTTCCCCGTGATAGAGCAGAAAATCTGCAGTCCTGTGTAGAACAATGTGAGGCAGGACTAGGGGTGACTGACACACTATCACAATGACATTGTGTCCATATTCAGTCTATTACAGCGTAGTGAGAAAATTCAGAGTTCACACAGCTCACACTGAAATGCCATTCATACAATTATCATCTTTATGGTTTTGTCCTGACAAAGTGACTTTATTCTGTTGCATCCCAGGGCAGTCCCCAAATTTGCCCCCTGTAAGCAAAAGATGCTTGAGGGCTTTCACACTGCGAATAACAAGTTGCTGGAACAAGAACAGCATTAATCCTCCCTGACGCTATAATTAGTCTATCTCTTTGCAGACAGCTGAATCGTACTTTCTAATGCATGGAAATGTATACAGACCAGTCTACTCTGGCTCAGAGTAGACCTAATTATGCCTTGATCTGCCATTAAAATATGGTTTGGACCCTTCGTGGATTCCAGTACTAAGATAAATCTAAATTAAAAATACAAATTAACTGAAGAAATTAATCTTTCTCTAGCAAATCAGTGAAGGGAATGCAGTAGAAAAGTCAATTTTGGAAGCAGTCTTGAGTAAGACCACACTGTTTCTCTCCTTTTTTTTGTTAGATTTAGTCTGTTGCTACAGAAAATAATTTCATAGAACATTTAAGGATTGAGTTCAGAAACTGTCTGAAAAGCAGCAAAGGGGGCAGAGGCAACTGTTTATATTTTTTTTTAATAGAAAATGAATACATTTCTGAGCAGTATGAAGCCCTGTTAGTATTGGGACATTGAAGGTGTACTTCCAGTGCAGAATTGGCAGGCTCAAGCTGAACTCTTGAAATGCCGCATTCTGCCTCTCTCTTGCAGGCTCAGCTAACACTTTACTCTGTGGATGATGAGCATCCACTTTTTTTAAAGAAGACACAAAAATTGAAGGATAAAGATATCTTTGGAAACACCCATGCTTAATCATAGCAGGGCAGAAGGCAGGGCAACTAACACCAGTCAGATTACACTCCATCTCCATGGAAGGTTTCTCATGGGCTCCCTCAGTGCTCTCCTGCTGGGGGTTGCTTCCCTCTCTTCCTCAATAGGGATATCAAAAGTAATTCAACATGCAAGTTTAGGCAGGCATGGGCTTGCTGGAGTTGGCATAAAGTCACGCTCTAACCCCTGCAGATCACTTTGAGCTCTCACAGCATCAAAGGGAATGTAGCAAACCACGACAAGCAATTTAAAGGGAGAACAGGCCAGAAAATGACAATTGCATTTCTCAACAATCTCAAGGTTTCAAATTTTATTTGTTTTGTTTGCTCTGGAATGAAACAGAAAATCTCCCAATCTTATTGAACACTAACAGGACCGAATGTGTTGAAAAGTATTTTCAGATGAGAAAGGTCAGGTTTATAATTCACTGTCTCTCACTGGCTGTTGGCCTTCCCTTGAGCTCAGAAACCTGTCCTTTGAAAACACTTGTGCTTGGTAAAACAGAATTTTTCAGGGAAGAATCTTTCACTGTTTTGGTTTCAAATAATCTTAAAAACTACTTTTGCTTGTGAATCCTATTTTGCAGTTTTAAAAGTGAATACCATCAAATAGTTATAAGAGTAACACATTATTTCAAGATTTTTCTTCTGAGAAAATTCTGCTTTTCAGAGTGAGAGCTGAATATTTTTCAGAGACACCTTTCTTTTTCATAGTCGTCTAGGAAGTTTGCTTCCATGCATTTTTAGTAACCAAATAAACGAGTGCCCAGCACTTCATGCCATATTTTATAATACAGCCACTGCAAGTTGGCGTGAATTTTCTACATTTCAGCTCAGGTTGGGTAGACTTCAGGACAGTGAAGGCATGCAGTAAAATGATGGAAGGTTTACTTGAATGCTAAAGCAGCATAATAATTCAAAAATATTCCAGTGTACTGAGATGTGACAGATTTCTTAATACATTCAACCAAATAGCAGACCACAGGAAAAAGTTGTTTTCATTAATACTCTACAGCAAGCAATTGTTTTTTCCTAAAACTCTCACAAGCACAGTTAAGCAATAGAGAGAGCAGTTCAAGAGAGAGAAGGGATTGGAAGATGTACCTGAGAAGGTAATTGACCCAGATGATATTCTTCTCACTTGCATTCTTGGCATTGACAGCTATGGTTGCACTAGACTGTATCCAGATATAACCTCCATTCTTCTGCATCCAGCGGTAATACTTTGTTACACACTGACCCTTATTTAACACTGGGGAAAAATACAAGTAGAATAGAAACAAGATATATTGCATATTAGAACTGTAGTAAAATGATCTGCATTGTACAACATCCAACATGTTTGAGCAAAAGATTCTGAACTTCGTTTAGGTTTAATGAGATGGCAAATGGCATCTGATGCTCAGTATGATGGCTTGTATGCTTTACAAGCTTTTAAAGTTTACTTTTAATCTGGTTTTGGAAACTCTAGTGAAAGAAGAAAAGTGAAAAGAACTACAAATCTCTTTGGCTCACAGAATACTTATTGCTATGTGGACATTTCCAATGCACTCAAACTGTAAGAAAGAAAAAGAAAAAAAAGAGGCAAATTTATATGTGATTTATTCATAGCTCCTAGGTAGACCTCTTTGAGATTCTGGATATTTGAAAGGTTTGGGAAGATACTCTACCCCTGCTGCTTTGATCATTTCTCCTTATTGCAGGCGATATCAACTACTGAACTTATACATCTGTTTCTTTGATCTTGTCAAACAGAATTTACAGTTCTCAGATGAACCAAATCTCCACTGGTCAGTAGGGGGAAAGTCTTGGGAGAATTTACTTCTACCCGAGCAAAGTAAATCCACCAGCAGACTGAGAAAGAGGCCTAAGGGAAGCACAGAATGACTTGGTTAGAGCCAAAGAGTGACAGCTCTCTCCAACGTTTGAAATATGCTAAGAAACAGAGAAACAAGTAAAAGAAATCAGTAATGTGAAACGATGCTATTATATGCTTGCAGAAAGAAGGCTTAAAAATACACATGTTTAAAGTAACACTTCAACCAAAATATTGCCAAATTGAAATGGATTTGCTTTGTGCCTGATGCCACAGTGTCAGGAAAATGGGATGAAATGCAAATGTTTCAAAGGATGGACGCTGCATAGTTTTAAAGAAAATCTAAACTATACAAAATCTGGGTACTATTGTTACATGAATGCTTGCTCTTGTCTGCAATTCTCACTAATCCTGTGAAGCTTTGTACACTAGAGGGCACTGTGCATTCGTATACTCCTTCTGCTTTTGTCATGTCCTTGTCTCCGTCTGCTAAAATGAAAAACCTCTAACTGCTGTAATAAATTTGGCTAAATTAGCTGCTAAATGGTTATCTCAAGTAATATGTATTTGCATTAATCATCTTGCTCTAAACCAGAACAAGCCAGAGTCCTAAAGATGTAGTAAATTCATATTGTCCATTTAATTACGGCTAATAAGTGCTTCATATACAATGGTTTCATGAAGTACATTTATATTTTTTTATTTTTTATTTTTTGCAAAGGGAAAAGAAAAAAGTCACTTTCGAAAAGAGTAAGTATTTAAGGCAGTTAAAGTTCGTGCCATAAATGTGACAAATTATACTTTGGAGCTTTCAAGTTAACCAAATGTCTATACCCCCAATTATACATTTCTGTGTATCTGTATCTAGATCCCTGTACGATCCCTGTACATATATCTACAGAAAAAGGACATTTACAGAGGCAGCCCTACATACGCGGATTTTTTCCTACCTCGGAGTCCCCCCCCTACTCTGATTTGTCAACAGTTGAATGAATAAGAGCATGTAAAAAGTTCAATGTCAGACTCAGCTGCAATATGAACAAATATGTGTGTGATCTGAGTCCTTTTGTTTTGCAGCAGTCTCTACTCAACTAGGTCTGTTTCTAGAAAAGATCCGTAACTGTTCCCAATTTTTTATTTTTGTATTCCAAACTCTAAGTATCCTGCTACAGTAATTCATCGGCATCAAAACTTCATTATACAGTAGAATAAAGATATTTACAACTGACTACCCAGCATTTCTGTCAAACCAATGTTGCATGCTACTTTATAAAACAATCTCACACAAATTAGTCCAAATTCATTAGTTATGAAAAATAAGGGATGAAACTGCTGTAAGTTTTGATTATGGTAGACTTTTCCATTTCAGTAAAAAAGAACATTCAAAATGCTCTCGTTTTCAGCTGACAGTAATATCCATATGCATGGAAGTCTCCATATGCATGCAATTGTTTCCTCTCCTGAAAGCTGCACACCCACAGTTACATGCAGTAACTAGTAAATTCTACCTGCAGACGTACCTATCGTTTGTGCTGTCCTCTTTATAACAATTTCTACCCAAATTTACCATGATATATAAGTATTAAAGGATGAATCCTCATAATTGCCCATAGTGGATATTTGGAAGTCAAGGTGAGTCACCATACAGTGACTTGACACAGCAATTCTGCACAGTGATAGTTATGGAGACCCAGATCCTCTAGTCCTTTCAGTCCATTTCATTCTGGACATTTCCTCCTTCAGTGCCTCTTACATTGGTTGTAAGAGGTACATTGGCACCACTGGAAAAATCTGTGTCATGAGCTGCACTGAGCATTCATTTCAGAGCTATGGAAAGAGGGAAAACTAAAACCTTACAAGCCATTTCTGAAGGAAAATGTGCTTTTTTAAGCCAGAATTCAATGTATAGGTGTTGCATGCAAAAAATCTACAGAGTTCAGGCTCTCGAACTACTGAGCGCCCAAAGAAAATCTGAAATACTATCTTGAAAATAGGCTTTCCATGAGGTTCATGTTCCTGCAAATTCCCCCTCTCTATTTGGCCAGCTCAGATATATTGCCACATACATAGAATTTTTCTCCCTGTAACTGTCTAAGGCACATTTCATATGAGAGATTTGTGGACCATGCTCTTGAGGAAGTCCCACGATTCAATATAAAAATTCTCTCTGTAAAGAGATTGTCTGGCAGACCAGCTGTGCTGTGCTGTGTTGCTGAATCTAGTTCTTACATCCTTTGAGAGTATACTGGATAGACTCAACCCAGGTTTGAAAGATCATACTGTAGCTTGGAAAAAAAAATTCTCAATGTGATGCAAGAGAAAGAATGAAAACATCTGATATGTTTTCTAATTTATAGTATTATTTAAGGATCTTCAGTTTACAGGTATGGGGAGTCCATTAATAAAGTTACTGGTTTTGAGAATAAATGAAGTACAGAATTAGTCCAACTTAAGCTGTGCTTTTGAAGTTATGTTTTGTTACTAGTAACAGATAACCCATTTCAGTTTAGCATAAATTTAGGAAAATATAATAGCATTTGGAACACATTCTGAGGTTAATCAGAATGTATTTAAGACAATTCCCTTACTGAATTCAGATCTGTGTTTTTGTACACTGAGAAATACAGAGTTTTAAGTTTCTGTTTGTTACCAAAATTGCTAGCAAAACTGTTTTCTATTTAGAAAAACATACATGGAATATCCAGCCTGGCAGACAAAGTATGTGGGAAAGTAAGACTTGGGACCACATCAGTGGGATTTCTCAGATGACTGAAGTTGGATGCGATTGTGCAGGATTGGGTATATCAGCCTATTTGTAAGAACAGCACAAAAGGTGACTTCTCTTACAGACTTTGTTTCTCCTGCCAATACATGCATGTCTCCAAAATGTTAATGGAAGTTACGTACTTATAACAGAGAGGAGAAAAAAGACCTTGTTACCAAGCCAAGTTGTATGGAAATATAGAGAAATCTTTCAAACACTGACTTCTCAGCTAAATAGCTGTCAGGAGCAATTTTTACCATCAGTATAACTGTGAGGAAGAGAATGAAAATTCTACATACTAGGAAAAAGAAAACACATAATTATACATATATATGTATATATACACAAGTATCTATATAAAACCTTTAGTCAAAGTTAATTACTGAGGGCTAATGTTTTAAAATGAGTGATATATTCCCTAAAATGGTAGATGTTAAACTTGTATAAAATTTGCTTAGACATTACTTACTCAGCTTCAATTCAGTGGTTAGCATGCAAGAAATGCACAGTACGTAATGCTAAAAACTAAATTAAAAATCTCACTTGTTTCTCAAAGTATGAATATATTGCTATGTACACTGTTCCCAACAGAGGGATTTCAGTTTTCCTTGGTAGCTTTGTGCTCAGCAATATACTTGTAGCAGTACAGCAAAGGAGGGGGGAGAAGAAGAAACAGTCAGTGTTCTTTGCAGGAACCTATTTCTGTTCAGAAATCAAAATAAATCAGTACAAGTTTGTCTTCAGAAATATGGTTACAAAAGGAAAAAGAACATGGTTTCTTCCTGTGAGGCTGTTCTGAGAAATCAAAGCCAAAGCTTCTAAATAGTGAGTTGTGTTTTAAAAGAAGGAAGTAGCTTAATTCAGTTTGAAGAGGAGATGAAGAAATTGTATATCAAAAGCAGTCTTTTAGCAAGGTCTCTTACAAAAGGACATTCTACTCATGTGCGTATGCATTTAAAAGCTACACTATATTGCGTATTCAGGTAAGTATTGAGTAAATAGGAAATGATGAGATCATCTTACATATTCACACAGCCTCACAAAGAGGTTCTTTATAATTAGTGAAAATACTGAGGTTACATCTGCTGTGCTATTCAGCCTTCTCCTTGTAATACCTTTATCAATGACTGAATATAGTATTGATACCAAATTCCTGTTGTAATAAACTTATAAAAGTGTTTTTAATTTACTGCAATAGAATGAAAATGCCATATTTAATACCACAGTTGGATACTTAGCTACAGCCACAAGTACTCTTTCTACATTCACAAAACTGGCAGACGAAACATGAAAAGGAATACTGACTCTTTAATCTCTACTTCTCCACCTAAGGCCCAAGGCAAGCTGACAGGGTAACTTGCTCTGGAAACAGAGGTTTTTTTTTTTTTTTTTTTTTTTTTTAATTCTGGATTACTTTTTCTTCTCTTTTTGAAAACTGTGGGCTATAGGGGAATGAGCCTGGCATAGACTTAAAACAAGAACCAGTTTCTTTATCTGAAAAGTTACAGTCCTTGATACTTACAGGAAGGTCATTTTCAAAACCCACAGGAAAAATAGCATCACAGCCAGAAAGAGTGCATTAAGTGCCTTATTTGCTTGTAACAGAGACAGTTTTTCATTTATAACAGCTCCGAGGATCAAGTGAGCCTTTGATGTTCTAAGGACTTTTCTA